ATGGATACCAGAGCATAGTCCTGCCAGCACAGTGTTGTGTGCTCTCGAGGCACAGCCAAATCTGGCATGGATTTAAATTTCTGCAGTTGGGGCAAGAAGGAAGAGAAAGCAAAGGGTTGATCCTCTAGGCCGCTGGTTAGCTGGTTCACAGGTTTGGGATCACTCTGTTTTTCTGGGTCTCTCTTCAGCTGTGCTCAAGCACTACACACAGTTTGACATTTGCAAGCTGCAAAAAAACGTTCAAGCACTTTGGGGGGAAGTTTGGCACAAAGCTTCAGGAGTACCAGGCCAAGAAGGAAGGGCCAGTTTAGACTGCAACTTTCCTGCCAAAGTGATATTTTAAAGGGACATGAATGGCCCTCAGATTCCTCAGAGACAGCTGACTGAGAAGCCTGGTGAGCCCTGGTCTGGTACAGCATTCACATGAAGGGGTCCCTGCAGGCATCCAGCCACAGCTCAGGCTGCTCACCCTGCAAGACATCCCTGCAAGTTGCAATAACCTCCCTTCACTAAAAAAAACCTCAGAGAATCTGATACTGTTATCAGATTTCTTTTCTGTTTGTTTTAAAGAAAAGGTATTTCCAACTCAAGAGAATTAAAAGCTGCAGATGCTTTACATAGCCCAGCAGTCTAGTGCATGGGATAAGGAACATTTCTTTATGGTACAGGATTTTCAAGAATGCCCAAATCTCCAGTCAGCATTCATATCAAAGCGGTAGCAATACAAAAAGTCCCTGGCTAAACAGGTCAGGGCCTGCCCACAGAAAATGCAAAATGCTTTTTTAAGGGAAGTACAAAGACTAGCTACAAAGCTGGTGTCTATCTGCAAGCTACACAAGTTACATACCCACACAGTGGGCCAGTGAGAAGAAACTCTAAGCTGATTAATTTAACCATCCCCAAAATGCTCCAGCAAGGGTTACCTGCACAGTACAGCAATTTTTGCTTTGATCTCCAGGAAACGTCTGTTTATTCAAAAGCCCATTTGCTATAGCAACCACGGTTTATAGAAAAGGAGGGAGGGGGAAGAGAATTCCCCAGTGCTTCGCTAGAAGAGTTGTACCACCAACGGCAGAGTCCTGTGGTTAAACACCTGGGGCCAAATGACATTTCATTTCCAGAGAAGCCTGCAGACTCGATGCTGGAGCATCCTGACAGGCAGGAGGGTCCCAGGTTTCCTGCCCTCCTCTGTGGATCAGCGGCCGCAGTGTGTTGGGATGTCCGGCGGAGGTGCCCACCGTCCCCTGGGAGCAGAGATCTCCTGCAGGAACGCTGGAGTTCGTCACTCCAAATGAGACTCTCCTCCCCCGGTCATCTTACTGCTCCTCTGTCTGCAAGAGGAGACACTTGGAAGCAGCAGAGATATTCAGAAGCAGGAGATCAAAAGTTCCACCCCTCCTTTGAGGTTTCAGTCTTTTTGTGTTGTTTTGGAAGGGAGAAGGAAAAAAAACCAACAGCACAACAAACCACACAGCCCTCAAGAGGGACACAACACACAAGGTCTGTTGTTTTTCTTTCACTAATAATTATCAGCACAAATTCAGCAACATTGATTCCAAGCATTCAGAACCCATACCTTAGTGCCAATCCTCACCCACAAAATAGCCTTAAAAAGGCCATTTTTAAAAGTTGCATGTATATTGGGTGAGGGAGATTTGCCTTTGTGCTTCCAAGCCCTACATCACACTTCAGGAAAAAAAAGACTTTAAAATGTGGCCCAGCCACAGGGACTCAAACCAGATTTTTTTTTTTTTAATAATATGAGATTCTAAGCTTTCATTTGATGCCCCCACTTCCAACAGCTGGGATTTATGCAAAAGAACATCAAATGCCACAGAGCTTATAATAAAAAAATAAAATCATGAAAGTTCCCACCACTGCAGTTTTGCAAGCCTCCCTGGGCAGTTTTCAACCAGCACAAGACTGCTTGGCCTTTGCCAAGAGCAAAGAAAGATGGAAAGGGAATGATAAGATAGCAACTGCTGGTGAGGGCACAGCATCTCTGCAGTGTACTTGTATGCTGAGGAAGTTCATGCTGGATGCTGTCATCTGACCAGTTATATTTGCAGGGACACACTGGGGCCCCCAAGCCCCTGCCCATGGCTCACAGTGGGCTTCTGCTCAGTCCCACACGAGAAGTGGGGTTCTCTTACTTCAGCCTGATGCCAATCAGGTATGAAAGCAAGAGGAATTTCCTGGTTTATGCTTTCATTTCAGTGCTATGGATTTCAAAGCATCTGCTGTAGGATAAGCCATTTCCCTTTGCACAGAAAGGTTTTTTGCTCCATAAATACTGCATGTCACCTTCTGGTTACTGAAGTGCAAATCCAAACCCTGGCAGAGAAGCTGCAGGGACCTAATGCAGCTTGGGGAAGGGGGCAGGGGGGGTGGCAAGGAAGCTTCTGCAGCAGCAGCCATCACCAAAGGCCAGGTTTCCTCACATATTTTCCTTGTTAGTTCAAGATTCAGAGAACAGTCAACAGACTGATTTAACAACAGCCCTTCTCAGCCCTGAGCCCCTCTCAGTGCCGTTGGCTGAGACTGCTTGTGGCACAGAGCAAGCCGTAAATTTTTCGGAGCCAAAGAGCTCCTGCCATCCAGGAGGCTGGGCACATCCAGACCCCTTGCCAGCCTGTCTATGTGCTCCCACTCCTGCCCCTTTCTCACTTTGAACATTGTCTTTCCCCACCTAACTGTGAGGACGAAGAAACCACAGCAGATCGCGGACCAGACACACACCTGCAGCAGTTTTACACAAAGCCCGAGCCACTTGAAGCTAAATGTGCAGCAGAGTCCATGCATCCATCATGCAAAAGGACCAGTAAAATACTGGCTAAAACAACTGTGCGGGCAGAAATGGAGATGGGATATGGACAAGCCCATGAAAGATGGTGTTTTTATTGGGATGCAAATTTTTTCCCAGGAGCTCTGGTGACCAAGAAGTAGAAGCCTTTGACTTTAGAGAAAACCTGGACGCAACAAGCCTTACAGAAGTATAACAGCCTGGCTTATTTACTTGCCTCAAAGCCGGTAAAACACTAGAGCATTAATAAGAACAGCCTGAGCAATGAAATGCAAATGCCACTCAAATAATTAAATAAAGAGAACGATCCTCCTCCCAAAACAATAGATGGGGCTGTAACATCTAACCTCACGGGAGAGCTTCATACAGGAGGCTCTTGTTCCAGTAGCTTCAAAGAGGCTGTTTAATTTTAGTAGGTCAGCAAGCGTACAACGTTACAAAGCACTTCTTAGACAAAAGCAGAGCTGAGGAGCTCTGCAATCCATTTTCCCTACAGGAAGGAAGGCAAAGCTTCCTATTGGGAGGAGGAGGTGGAAGGGAAAGGGGAGAGGGCTGACATTTTAGAGTGAAAGGAGAAGGCCAATGTATAAAATTGAGGCAGACCAGGCACAGAACAGTGAGGTAAAAACAGCAGAACAGGGCGGAATATAAACCAGTCCCGTCTCTCCCCCAAGCTCAGTGTATGCTTGACTTTTTAATTTTGCCGAGATTAGTTTTGCTGCTGTTGCAATCTGTCCAAATCTCAAGTTCCCTCCTAAGCGAAATGTTTGCCTTTCACTTCCTTTGAAGGGTACATATTTACTTTGTTCTTTAACATACTCAGGGCTCAGCATCATGATTAGCAGACATCCAAATACCAAGTCTCTGGGCAACTTGGAGCCCAGCTCCCTCGAAGCAAGATGATACACAGGAGGGATGTGCTCAGTGCTGGGTACCACAGCCCTCTGAGCAGGGTGTCATGGGAGAAACTGGGGGCTTTACTGATGGATTTTTAAATAAGAAGGTGCACAGATGCATGCTGACATTGCAAAAGGTGCTTGCTGAGTAAGCAGACGTTGCCCAATAAGCAACATAGGAGAGGTACTGTTTTAACAGAGGAATGAACTAGACATGGATTGCATTATTCCAGCGACAGCCCCACAACTCAGCCTGGGGCACAAGCAGGGACCAACAGCTCTGACAGCTCAGCTCACACAAGTGCAAGTCTCAAAAGCTGAGATTGCTCCTTTTAACTCTAGTAAGATTACCCCGGGAGGCCACAAAGGTATCTGAAGCATTAAGAAGAAGAAGGAAAGAGTAACAGAGCTGCTGAAGGCGTTCTTTGACACTCCTGACTTGCCAGTAGTTATAAGAATGAGCAGATGAACTGGCCAAGAAGATGGGTTTGATGGGTTTCACCTGATTTCCACTCTCTTGACACAGGCACACCTGTATGCACATAGGCACACTGTTATTTGAGTCTAGCCTGGGGCAAGTACCCAAGGGTTCATGCCCTTGGCCTCTCCAGCCCCCTGCGCTTTTCCGGTGGCAGCACACAGGAAGGTGCCTTTCACGCTCACCTTCCTCTGCTGCCAGGGACTCAAAGAAAACAGCAGGCAGGGAAGAAAATAAATAAATACACACCTGCCAGGCTAGGGAAAATGATGCAGGAACCCACTGTTCCGGCCACAGCACAACTAGCCATTGCACTAACCTGTTGGATTGCATTTTATGTCCCTGTGTCTCCACAGCCATAGGAAATGGAGCTCTTGCTATCAGTTGCCTCTGCATTAAAGATACTGAGCCAGAAATAAGGCACAAATCAAAAAACATTCCATCTGATCTTTCAAAAGACGGACTGAGTAGCGAAGAGATGCCCTTATCAGTGCTGCATTTTCTACCTTCACAAACTCTAAATGGTGAAAAAAAAAAAAAAAAAAAAAACCAACTCCAGTTTTCACTTTACACTGATGATCTCTTGATCTTCCCCGGGCTATTTATAAGCAGATTTAGTTAGAAGATAGTTTACCCAAAGAAAGTGAGGAAAATCCAGGCATTGTTCATACACAGAGTAGAGCACAGCTTGTGAGTCATTTTAAAATCACACTGACACTTCAAGCTGCTCCAGAGGTTTTGCTTCGCCATAGGTTAGCCATTTCCACTCTGCAGAGTGAGGAACACACATCTGTACAGGTCACACACAGCAATAGCCTCTTACCCAGAGCTTGCCATCCCAATAAAACGCTCCCAGCAGCTTGACGATGTGCCGGTGATCACAGGTCGCCAGTATTTCTATCTCCACCATGTAATCCTCCAGTTCATCTTCACTCTTTGTTTCAATGACTTTGGCAGCTGCTAAAGCACCGGTTTCCTTATTCTTAGCCTGCAAGACAAAGCCAGCATGAGTACAAAAGTGAGGAGAGCTAGGAACACATAGCACCTGCACTATTCCTGGTCATCCAGTTCACGCTCAGTTTGACTGGTACCAGCCACAACACAAACATGGAAACTTGCAGATGTATTTCTGCTTCCTAAACCTACACGTAGCTTCGTAGAAGATGAATACTGTGTAAGGGCCAAAGCATCTTCCTTCCTCCCTCCAGTCTCTAATGCCCACACCACTTCCCATCATGAGGAGAAAGAGGCTTTTAGAAAAGGAGATGCACACTATTATTTGAAGCATGGAAAAGATGGAAGCAAGAAAGCCTCAGAGTATAGAGGCTTTCTGCTCATAGCATAGGTGATAGCTCCATTTAATAGAAGTCCTGAGTACACAGACACTCCAACCAAATTCACAGGGCAGCTGTGAATCATCTCCAACCTGAACATCCCCACACTCCCCTTCCTCACCAGGGCAGTTTTCTGTAACACACTAGGGAAACGTAGGGATCACCTCCTTGACAGGTAAACCAAGAAGGATGCATTTTGATTTCCCAGGACTGGTTGGTGTTCCTGTTGTTGCATATTAGTGAGATCTTCAGATCACACTAAGAAAAATACTACACTTGCTTTCCTCCCAGCTGCCCCTTCCATTTTATATAGTCCCTTTAACCAGCTTATCCACCAAATAACTAGAAAACCATCAAAATCTCTTTGTCCCAGTGGCTGGAAAACTTTTGCTGACTTTTGTTCCCCCCATTCCTCACAACACCACAGGAGCGTACCCTTGGGTTAGCAGCTTGCTGACCTCCTTTCCCCATAGACACCCTTCGCTGAGCAGCTCTCACTGCCTAGGAGGGGGTCACCGATAGCTGCACGGGAGCTGCCCTGCTTGTAGGTGCCACACACCAGTGAAAGGCTATTAGTGCTGGACTGGAAGCATTCGCGGACATGTTTATCATCCCACTCCTCCTGTGGCCCTCTCTTGCATGGAGAAAGAGGCAGCTGATGAAAGGCTTGGCTAAAAGTGAGCATCTGTAAGCAGGCATAGCCAGGTGAGCCCCAGAGCCGCTCCCACGCAGGACCATTTCAGCATCACCCACCCAGAACTGCCTGTTGGCTTCCCCCAGAACTGCCAGGGCAAGTTTGCATTCTGCAATTGGAAATCTGCACCAATTGTTGAAAGAATTACAAGCTTGCAATAAAATACCAAAAGACGGCAAGACAGTCAGCACACAGGGTTTCACTGTGAGATGTGTCACGTGCTGGTAGAGGGGGTGAGATGGGAGCTGTTGACCCAGGAGCTCCCACCATTCCCAGAAGTGCATTGAATCAGCAGATTGAAGGACAGGAGAAATCCCTATAGCTCACCCACTCTGCTCCCCACTGACGCAGGAGAGCTCCCATTGTGTGATTGCAGTTTATTACCCATTTTCCTTCCATCACACCACTCCAGGCTCCCTCTCCCCTGGGAGAGAGTCCCACCATGGATGTTATCACTGGAGGAGCTGGGCAAACTCCAGTTGTGACCTTCCTTACTGCTTTGCAGTTTACGTATCTGTGTTTGGAAACCTATGCGGGAGCTTACAGGAAGATTAATTCCTAGTATAAACACCACAAAGCTGTGCTGAACAGCTTTATTTAGTTGAGGTGATAGTTTAACTGCGTACCAAGGAAAAGGATGGAGAGGGAGGAAGGAATACAGGGAAAACTATACAGAGGGAGGAAAATAAAGGACCCCTGACTCTCTGCTGGGTTTTGAAGACTTGCTGCATTCGTACAAGTTGGCACAGACAGCTGTGTCTTTACCACAGGGGACAAACCCATTTCCATCTTATCTGGGCTCGCTGCCCAAACGCAAGACAACAACTCACGCTGGCTGCAGAAGAAATTAGGGTGGGTTTTTTTTGCTCAGGCTGGTTTGTTTCCTACCAAGTCGCCACCAGATGCCCCAAGGAGGGCATGCAGAGCAGGGCACAGGGAGATGCAGAGCAGAACAAGCACAGGGAATAGCGCCGTGCTTCTGAAACGCAGCAAGAAGTGCCCCAGTGTGTTTGCTCTGCACTTATGGTGTTGGGAGAGGTCCAAGGAGGGGAAGTAAATATTGTGAGAAGAGGTGGGGCTTCCCTTGGATGTCAGCCATCACACGCTTCCCACCGGCGGGGTCCCAGCCAGCTCAGCCCTTCCAGGATGCTGGGGCCCTGCAGGCACCTGAAAAAACCCAGGAGCAGAGCGTGCCCCAGCCCCGCTCCCTCCACCGCATCATCTCCCACTGAGAGGTCTGAGCCAACGTGCCCTCAGCCCCGAGCCTCGGGGGAGCCACCCTGGGACCCACGCTGCCACCTCTCATCCCCTCCTGGGCTTGCTAAGGCACACAGAGGTGCTGGATGCCGAGCTGGAGGATGTGGTTTTGCAAACTGGGCTCTAAACTGTGGGTGGGGGAGCGACTGCAGCCCGCACGTTCACTGTGGCAGCCTGACCTCACTCATCATTACTCCTATGACTAGGAGGTGAGGAAGACCACAACCCCCAGCAATCGCTTCCTTTCTAGATAGAAGCCCATGTACACCCTGCCTGATGTCTTTAAAGATGCCCATAATAAAATTAACTGCTACCTTTCTCCACCACTTTGGACTGTCCCGATGAATGTACTTCCTCAGCTATCTCCATTTCCTCATCCATTCTAGTGGGGGATGCAGGGGGATCCCATGAGATGTGTAAGATGGGCTTCCACCCCAAAGGGAGAGGAGCACTGCTGTCCCACATCCCCCCCGGCCAGGGGTCCCTGGGAGGCCACACTGCTCAGTCACACCAGAAGAAGTGAGATCACCATCTCCAAGGAGAAGTCAGCTGAGGACAGCATGAGCTTGTGATGCAAGAACATGAGCTTTTGAAACAGCAGGCTCATGCGGGCAGGGATGCCCAGGGGATGGCGTGGGCACAAGCCCTGTACTTTCCGTGGCCCTGTGATAACATCGCTGCTACCACCAAGCACTCTCACAGCACTTCCCAGAAGGGACCTGGATGCCCCACAGCCCCGTGGGACAGCAGAAGCATCTGAAATAGGAAGGGGACCTAAGACCACAAAGTCAGTAGATTTCTGAAAATTAATTTCCTCCAGCATGGCCCATTGTAGTGTGGAGAGGAGGCTGGTTGCCCCGCAGAGCTGCCTTTGAGAGGATCAACACTAATTCAGGTGGGACAGCTGATCTCCTCCTGAGTTGTCCACGGCCCCACGGAGCCCAAGCCCAGCCTGTAGTGTTTCTACCACAGCAGATGGAGGGAGATGCACACTGGCTGGTGTGGGCACTCCCAAACTGAGCTCAGAAAGTCATGTTTGGCATCACAAGAGCTTTGGAAATCCAAGGAGCTTCTGCCCATTTCTCCGCCTTCCCTTTCTCTCCATCTGCTTGTCCTCCAGTCCTGACACCAGGCTGCAGCCACGTTCCCAGTGGCCTCCCTGGGAATGGCAGCTGCCTGCCATCAAGCAGACAGCTGCATCACAGCCCCTCACAGCAGCCAGCCAGCTCTGAAAGCAGCTCACAGCAAGCCAAACTCATACAAGCAGCGTCAGATTTTGGCCAAGTACACTGGGCAGTCTCTCTAACTCACGTCTGGCAACTTCCTTCAGCTTCTCTGCTGGCATTCTCCTGCGCACAATGTATTACGACAGATACATTCTTCCAGGAAGGTTGGTTTGGGTCCTAAATAGGCCAAATGCATATGTTGCCAGCCCTGAGAGCTGGTTTCAGACATCCCAGGCATGAGATGATGCTTTAGGGTTTAAAGCCCTTTCCTGATTTCTGCTTATTTTTGTGCAATAGATCAGAATCTGCCCCGGAGACATTAGCACAAAGCAAAACACAACCTGCTCTGACCTCAAAAAGCCAAGCTAGCAGTTAGGCAGAAGCAACCGGCATCTCCAAGTCTGTACCCTGCAGGCCTGGATGATACCCCTCGTGGCAAGGGACACACAGCGCCAGGCTGAGAAGAGGCAGCGTCGCTGCTCACTCTCCAGGAGCTGCAGGATGGAAGGAGAGGGTTCCCACCAGCCCCTCTGCAGCTCCACCTCTTCCTTGAGCCTCACTGGGGGTCATGCCCTCATCTTGCAGTGGGGGGAAATGAAAACTTCCCTCATGGTAGGTGTTTTGTTTGTCTTTAAATCCCAAAGAAAGGAAGAGACAATATGGAGGAAAGAAGAAAACCAAGAACTATCAAGAAAGCATCCTAGGATGACTCATCAACAGTGAGTTCGTTAGACAGCCACGTCATTTGAAATTAAAAGCTGCAAAATACACTGTTTGAACTACAACTCCAAAATCTTCTGCAAACCCCAGACTAATTACAAGGTCTCCAACCCAGCAAAAGTCCATGTAGAGAACACAGAGATGGGGAAAGAGCTTCTGTTCCCACATAAAACACCCCCAACTGTGAAGTCTGAGGAATTCATGGTGTTTCCCATTTTTTTCCAGTGAAATTTGTGGACAGAGGTGAAAGAACCACTCAGATAGGTAGGATCCCCAGAACAGAAGCTGTTTAATGCCAGTCTATGGCCTATGGCTGGTCAGTTAAAAGCATGCATCAAGTTTCATCTTTTAGCTTCTCTGCTCCTGAGCGTTTTAATGCCATGGATAATTTGTCCCTGGAGTGCTAATTAAGACCAAAAAAAAAAAAAAAAAACTAGAGCAGGTAGCTTCCAGCATAGTGCCCAGGATGTGGTGTTGAACTATAGATAGATTCTTGGCATTTAAAACCTGAAAAGCCCTTATGGCCACTACCAGCCTTTGTGCAAATCAGCACACCACACAGACCACAGCTGACAGGTCTATGCAGAAGCAGGAATGGAATGTGCATTCCACAAACAAAAACATATCAAATAAAAGTTATCCAGTAAACCACTTCCAGGAAGCCCTGCCAGGAGCCACGCAGGATACAAAGCAAAGGATCTTGCTGGAATCCTCTAGAACAAGATGGGCGCTGGACACACTATTGCCAAACACGCTG